ATGAAAATACTCGTAATAATGGTTTGTATGTTTTAAACATAGATAGACCCGTGTATAACATAAATACTAAATGACTCAAAAAAAATTATCTAAATAAAATATATCTATGGCATTGTCGACTTAGCCATATAAACAAAAAATGAATATCTAAACTATATAAAAATAGATATCTAGAATCATTTGATTATAAATTTTATTATATATGTAAATCTTTTCTACTTAGAAAAATGACAAAATCCTTTTTACTGAAAAAAACTACCGACTTGTTAAGTCTTGTACATATTGATGTATGTGGGCTCATGTTCACCCAAGCAAGAGAAGAACATGATCAATTCAATTGAAAGATCATGCATCCTATAGAGATACAAAATAAATAAAATTTTTTGTTCTTCTCCATCTAAAATCCCAGTATCAACTATTAAATCAACTAACTATATGTAAATAAGATGAATCAAATGTTATCTTTTGTGGGCATCATGACTACCTAATTCTTTAGAAGGATTACTTAATCCATACAAATAAACAACCATACTAGAAGTGCTAGAAAATCTAGAATGCTAGCTCAAATTTTTCTATTATGTATTTATTTTTCTTCGGATATCACTCAAAGGTTGTTGACATAATTTATAAAGAAAAGGTGATAGGTTCATTTTTATTTTTTGGGTGAGATGTAATTTTCTCTCTTAGATTAGTTCTATTTGTATGTTTTCTTCCCTCTCACTTCGATGTCACTTAAGTGGGATTTATTTGATCTTATCCTCATAAACCCCGAGGTTTATCTTTTAGTGCTCAAGATTATCCTTTCTTTTAAAATACCTTATAAGCTTTTACATAAGGTTGTTAGCCCAAACTCTTTTGGCCCAATAGCTCAATAGTTAATTTGAACCATCCAATCGGGTATTTTTAGAGAGGCCTATATTAGGAAATAATTTTCTAAGTTACTTTTGCATTTTATTAAACCTAAATTAGAAAAGTGATTTTCATTTTAGGTAAATGACTTTCAAATTTGGAAACTAATTTTCAAATTAGGAAACTGATTTTCAAAATAGAAAACTTTTTCTAAAATCTTTGTTTCTATTTTTTTGTGTGAACATTTAAATTTATATGTGTGACTCAATAGGCTTCAGATATATTGGTAATGTATCAAGAAGTAAAAAATATATTTTTTTATCTTTCAATGCATAAATGAAGATTGACTTTTAGCAATGCATCATGATCGCTTATTCTCTAAAAGGATTACTTGATTGGCAATAACCTTTTACGAGTATGATTTTCATATAATTCAGTTATCATATCAATTTATCACGAGTGTGATCTTGAACTTGATTTGTTGTCTATTCAATTATGATCACATAAGCTTTTTCTTAATCTCTAAATGTTTTAGCTCTCAAGTCAACCAACTATGCTTTATTGGTATACTTTCATTATGGCCATGGATTCTTAAATAGGCATTTATCGAAGTATAATGTGATAACTCTTTTATTATATGAGGAATGATATGTCCTATCTCGCTTATCCACCTATCTCCATTAGATTCTTAATGGAACCAATAAATCGCCAACATACGACTCTTTCATCGAACCCATCGAAACGAATGTCAAAGTGTATCAATCCTCAAAAGAGATAATCATAATGACGTCAAGTCAAAGAGCTACTCGGTACCCATCTTATATAAGATTCCCATAGACAATACCAAATGAGTTCTCATGGAGAGTCACATCTAGTGATATGTTTTCTAACATTATTCACCCGAGTGCTTGCTTTGGCATCACCATATCGGTAAATGTGAAATCTCCTACTCGCTATCCTATAAGAAGAGCATAGCACTCACAATTCTTACCGTATATTGTCAATGTTTAATCTTGATAATGCTATGACTTAGAATATTTAATGATATCATTTATGTAATATTGATGTTTGTCTCACATTTATTGGTCAATCATTAATGCAATGTATATCATATGGACTTCTATCTAATTCTATCAAATTATAAATAATAAGAATTAATAGAAATACTTCTTTATTAATATTGAAAATGTAACAATATATATATATATATAAAACCATCCAAACAAGTTGAATGTTGGACACCTACACTAATAAAAAGTGTATCTAGATGTTGATCAATAGAATTGCTCGACTCGATTACAAATAAAAAATTAGTTAAGGTACTCAAATTGAAAAAAAAAATTAAAGTTCGGATAGCAATCAACATTTGATCGATAGTACATGATACTATTAAACCAATTAACCTTAATTCTAATGCCATATACTATTTTTTTTAACAATATTTTTCTAAAATACTCATTTTTAATTTTAAAAATAAATCTATCTAATTTAATTTTGCATTATATAATAGCAATATTTGAAGAAAAAATAGTATTAAAATTTTTTATTAGATAATTATCTTGGGATAGATATAAATAAAAAAGAATAATTGTTTTGAAAAAAGAAAACTTATTTTCGATTGCTTCCATATTTGTACTATTGATACAGAAAACTTGATTTGATAATAAAATAATGATAATATATGAGAAATTCTTAATCTCCGTGCGGATAAATTACACTTTTATTTATATATATTTTTTAATATTTAGAATATAATTGACTAGTTTTTTGGTATCAAAATTTTATTATTATTATTAGTATTTTGGCTTTATGATTAGAGATATTTTCAAGCTTTTACAATAAATAAATAAATCTATCACATGATCGATTTGGTTAAAAATAATTATTTACATTGATATTAGGTGATTTAGTTTGAGATTCTGTTTATTAGATATTAAATAAATCAACCTTAAGAGACAGGCTAAAGGGAGTATATACCCCCTTTTTTTTTTAACTTTTTTATTCAAACATTATGTTTAGTATCCAATAAATTTTTTTGAATACAACACTACATCTTTATAAGGATTTTATGACAAAATTTGCCCTCAAAATATTGTAATTTGGCAATTTCAGACTTAAAGTACTAAATTATGTAATTTAAACTCTAAAATATTGAAGATTGAACAAATGTGATCTAAAATATATGATTTTCATTATTTACAAATAACAATAAACTATTAGTTGACGTTACTTAATTTTTTTTTAAATGGAAGCTGAGAGGAATTGAATTGAAAACGAGAGAGAGACCGAGACATGAAGAGAAGGGGAGAAATTGCTGGTTGAAGAACGTTTAATGTAGTGGTCCGCGGGCTTAACTTAGCACTTAATTTTTGTTGCTGGATTCATTTTGCTTCTTTTCTTTACTTGTGGTCTAGGTCCTCATCGATTTTCCTGTTGGATCAATAATTTTGTCTTCTAAACTTGGAAAGCTTGAATTCAAGATTTGAAAGTGAAAATGTGGCACTAACATCTGAGCTGAAATTGGAAAAGAAGTTTGGACAATCTTTTGTGTTTGTAGCATCTACCCTACTAGAGGATTGTGGTACACTGAAAAGTGCCAGCCCTGCGTCTCTGCTCAAAGAAGCCATCCATGTCATTAGCTGTGGCTACGAAGATAAAACAGAATGAGGCAAAGAGGTAGGAGAAATGTTTAAATTTATGTGTTGGATTCAGACCTTGCACTTGATATAATCAATATGACAATTGGGTTTAGCTCACCATAAAATTGCTTTCGTTCTCCAGGTAAGGTGGATTTACGGTTCAGTTACAGAGGATATCTTGATAGGCTTTAAAATGCACTGTCATAGATGGAGATCAATATACTGTATTCCTTCTAGGCCAACATTTAAAGGTTCAGCACCTATTAATCTTTCTGATCGTCTACACCAAGTCCTTCAATGGGCTCTTGGATTTGTTGAGATATTTTGAGCAGGCATTGTCCTCTCTGGTAGGGATATGGAGGGGGTTTGAAGTGGTTGCAGCGTCTATCCTACATAAATGCTACTGTTTATCCTCTGACATCTATTTCTCTACTGGCATATTGTACTCTTCCTGCAGTCTGCTTGCTTACTGAAAAATTTATCACTCCAAAGGGATGCCATTTATAGCCACAAAGAAAGAATTTCGTTTTGTTTTCAATGCCAGATGAGGGGAATTGGTCAAATGCCTTTGAGATTGCGAGATTGATAGCGAGAATGAAGAAAATTGGTCAAGTGCTGGATGGATTCACATATATTGGTATTTCATGGCCTTATCCACAACTCCACATTTCCCATTTGCCCAATCTTGGAATCGATTGCAAACTGCGTCTCTCACAATCTTGCTATCAATCTTGCAATCTCCCTGTCAATCTCTCCCCTTCTCTCCTTGTTTAAGAGGAATTGAAAGGGAGTAAGGCAGACGATATGGCTGCCCTTCTCTCCATGTTTCTATCTTCCCCCTTTTCAATTCCTCTCAGCTTCCTTTAAAAAATAAATAAATAAGGGTCAATTGATAATTAATTATTAGAAATAACATTTGACCAATATCTAATATTTAAATTATGTAATTTGATATTTTGAGTTTGAAGTTGTTAAATTACAATACTTTGGAGACAAAATTTGCCATAAAACCTTTTCATGGGAGTCCTTCAAATTATTTCAGGATATTAAATTTAATTTTAATTGCAATACAAACCCATTCCAAAATGCCCCTTCTATAAAAAAAGAAAAAGAAAAAAGAATATACACAGGTAATGATATATTCATAATTTATTTCTTTAATTTTTTTTTCAATCTTTTTAAATAAAAAGAAAAAGAAAAAGAAAAGTTGTAATAATGGAAAGCAGCGAGTAAAAAAAAAAGCAAGCAAATATATAGTTAAATGAGAAGGAAACAACTGAAGGGAAACAACTTCCTTAAGTTGTTTCCTCCATCGTCACGCGATCACTACAACTACCTGTCCTTTCTAACTTTCCACCTTCCCTTCTCCACAATGCCCACACAACCTTTTCGTTTCCACACCTAAAAAAAAAAAAAAACAGAAGAAGAAGACAGAAATAAAACTATGCGTAGAACTTGTAATTTTACAACTGTTTCAATCCACACATAATCACTGTACATAATACTACATATATGCCAGAGAGAAATGTCAGGCGGAGAGTTCCAGCGAACGGTGAACGGAAGACCAGGCCACCACATCCAGCTCCTTCTCCAAGTAGACGGACCCCACCACCACGGCGATCGGTGAAGCACTCCAAACCTATAAAGATTTTGAAGCGATGTTCCTCGGAGCCCGTGATGGTGGGGGGAAGTGGTACTGAAGATAGTATTGATCAGCAGAAGCAGAGTACCAGCTTGTCATTTTATGAGAGTGATGGTGGTGGTGGTGTTTTATTTAGGCCTCATACTTGCATAGATGCTTTTGCTTCTTCTCCTTCTCTGATCGTTCCCGCTAATTTCTCACCTCGCTCCAGGTTTGATCAGGTACCAAAAGTTTTTTTACTTAATTAGTCCTTTAATAAAACACTGTTAAGATATGGTGAATTAACCCTCGAATTATTGCCAATAATTTGGATTACAATTTTACCGAAGTCAAGAATTTCAATCACAAATTGTCTTTGTTGTATCTTGGTGAGATTTTTAGCTTAATTGTTGATGCAAATTTTGAAGTGTAGGGATACAAGAAGGATGCAAAAGTGGTGGTTAATGTAACAGTTGAAGGGAGTCCAGGGCCAGTTAGGACCATGGTTAAATTGGGATCTAATGTAGAGGACACAATTAAGCTTGTGGTAGACAAGTACAGTGGAGAAGGGCGAACCCCAAAACTTGATAAGGGTGCAGCATTAACATATGAATTGCATCACTCCTATTTCAGCCTTCAAAGTAAGTCAAGGTTTGGACTTCGCATCTAAATATTGGCAATTGTGTTTGCGTCACAATGATTTGCTTTTTTTCTTAGGATTTCACTGATCAGTTTGTCCCTCGTCATTCAGCAGCTAAACGAAACTAATTCATTAAGGGATAATGTTGTTTTGCTGATTTCTTCATAATTCAGCTAATAGGCTTGCATTTTGTTTGCTGGGGTTCTTGAAACCAGAAGTTGCCTTTTTCTAATTCTTATAACTTTCTGTCATGTTATTATCTTACCTTCTAAATAGCATTGTCATTGTAGATATTAATTATGCTTCTGGGTGTTAACAGGTTTAGATAAATCAGAATTGATTGGGGATGTTGGTAGCAGAAGCTTCTATCTCAGAAGAAGTAGCAGCAATCGTAGCAGTAACGGAGGCTCAACTTCTTCCACTACAGAAACAGTTTCTGGGACAGCTAACTCACTACCAATTTCAAGCCCTCCATTCTTACCGCCAGAATTCCTTGCTTGCCAATTTGGCAAAATTGTAAGAAGAATGCGTAAGCTTTGGAAGGTCTTGGTTTGCTGGAAATGACCTCAAGATCCTACCATTATTAGAGTTCAATAGCATATTACTTACTGGCCTCTAGCATATACCTAAGTCCCTTTTTTTCATCCTTATACACTTATTTTGTTTTCTTACAAATTCCTTACCATTTTTTTTCCACATGTAAATGCAAATATACATACACCACTGTATACTTCTCCTTTGCTTGCCTACGTCTTTGGTTTTGTAATTGTTGCGAAAATTACCCCGTTGTGGAGATCATTTAATCAAATGAAATATGATAGTTTACTCTGATTTTGATACGGTTTTTATTTCTGTCTAGTTTATTAGATTTATCAAAAGTATATTGTGTTGAGATTGTTGATCTGATATTATCTCATAATTTAATCTTTCATTTTTCAAGCCCCATATTCATAAATGCAAAATGTCAAACATTGTTTTCTTGTTCGAAACTTATTGCAACATTTCTTTCTTTTTCCAGAACATGTTTAAAGCTTGAAAATGTAAAAAGACGTCCTCTTATGCCACAACACGCGCGTGTAGACGAGAGGAAATAATACCATTTTATTTTTCAAAGAATGGTCGGCAAACGTTACGTCATGGTCGGTAGCGGACCTTAGGGCTCTATGCCTATAATTTTGACCAGCAATTAGGGTGTTTGCACCTGATAGGCTGGTATAGCAATTCTATATATTTTGAGTCGAGGGAATCTCTCTCTCTCGCTCTCATTTTTTTTAAGGTCTTTATCTTAGCTTTGCTCGTGCTCAGTGACTCTACTATTTCTTGATTCTATTCTTACTGTGTGTTGAAAAATACTTCCTTGAATAATTTTAGATCTGACTTTGAAGTTTAGACTGGACTAATGCTTACTTATTTGGGCTACAAAATATTGGGCATGTGTTGGATCCTCAGTCCAAGGTCTCCAGTTTGGGCTCTTGGGCTGCTTGAATGTCTTTTGCTCAATGTTGTTGACTTGCTTACGACTCTTGTTCTTTATTTTCTTAAACCACCATTCCTCTATTTTTGAACTGTTCCTGCAATGTTGTTTAATTGTTATTCATCTTCCATGAAATTATATATATAAAAAAAATAAATAAATAAAGTAAAACGATCATTACTATTTATTATAGTATTTAAATACTCAAATTCATTCGCATTATTCACCAAGACTCAAATGTACTATTTATTTCATTATACAATGACATTTTTATAGTTTTTAAATGTTTTAAAGATATTTATTATAAAAGTTTTCATGAAATTACACTTTAGTTTTTTTAAAATATTATTTTTTTAGTCCATAAATACTTTTTTATTTAATTTTGGTCTCTCTTTTTTGTTTCATTTACGCCACTTTGATCCTTTCTTTTTTTTTCTCTAATTTTTTAATTAAAAATTTTAAGGCAATAATAATAATAATAATAATAATAATGTTAAGAAAAAACAATTTATTCTAACTAAGAATCCTTATTCTAACTAAGAATCCATTGATTTTGACATTTTTTATACTATTATAAGTTTTTTAGTCTATAGATAGAGATAAATAAATAATATTTTTAATAAAAAATTTATGAAAAATATAAAGAATAATCAGTCAAATATAAATTTTTAATTATAAAATTATGAAATTGAATAATTTTTTATTCATTTTTGATATGATATATTTTGGTATATGCATAATATAATAAGGAATATCAAATTACAATAAATTTATGTGTTCTGTTTGATTCGCAGAATAACACGGATAAAAAAAATAGTAACAAAATACTCGAGCTGTGTGTTTTTTTTTTAATAATCTTATTTATTTATTTATAATTTTTTTTAAATAATTTAAATAACCGAAGAAGAAGAAAACATTTAGTCATGATTTTTCATAATAGGCCGATCCATAAATATGCATAATCCAAACCCAGAATGTCTAAGTGCTGTATTGTAATGGGAGAATCAGCTGAACAAATTATTAAAACAGAGTTTGTATTGAATAAAGTACAATTCCATGAAGTCTAGTCTGTATACGAGTTGGATATCCACATTACGTTGTATATATAAGGTCAACGATTTGCATGATATAATGTGAGTAAAAAATCTTATTTTTCATGATAAATGTAAATTTATTTTAGAGTATAAAAAGAATAAATAACAAATAGTTGAGGTTATGTATGCAAATACATGATTAATTTATAACAAAACTAATGATATATAACTTTCAATTATTTTATTTAAAAATATTAATTTTAGAATATAAAAAAGAATAAATTACAAATAATTGGTGTTATGTATGCAAATAGCTAATTAATTTCTAATATATATATATTGAAGGTAGAAATATGAAAAATTCAAAGGTGTTCTAATAGTGATGAAAGACAAAAGAAAGAATGATCTTCTTTTTTTTTTTTTTTTTTGTAGGGTGATATAGTATTTGGTACTACATTAATATCTTTATTAGCCAACTTAGATTTAAAAGAATGCTTTTGGGTGCTCTTAATTCTAATAGTTGCAAGTTTTCTATCGAAGGTGAAAAATTGAGTTAAAAATGCCTTAGCGAGTAATGAAAGAAAAAATAAATTATGGCTTTTATTTTTTATTGGATAATACAATATTTGGCTCAACATTAGTATCTTTATTAGCCAACTCAAACTTAGAAAATACTCAATAGTCGTATATGCACATGCGATATATAAGCAAGAGAGGTATGATAATATTAAGCAAGTGAGATTTACTATATGGTCATAAAACAAGTAAATATGACTTTAATGAGAATTATGTGTTAGGTAAAAAAACACGTATGAAGTTTCTACTATAGTATACAAAACCAAGAATACGATGGATTGTATCTATTCAAATCTTTAGGTTCCTTTATAGTTTTCTCTCTTAGTGATTCTAGGTATTATTGTCTTTTATTGATGATTTCTTAAAGTCCGGATTTATACCATAAAGAAAAAAAGTGATTTGTCTATTAATTTTAAACAATGGAAGGTAATGATTGAAAATCAAAATAGCAAAAAAGTGAAGCATCTCCGGATTGATAAAGGTTTAGAACTATGTTCGGGACAATTTGATGAGTTCGTGTGAATGAAAGCATCTTTAGACATCATACGATTAAACATACTATAAATAAAATTATAAAATGCATAATAAAACTCTTTTAGAGAGAACATATTGTATGTCCTTTAGTGTATGTTTGTCTAAGAAATTTTACACTGAAGCGATTAATAAAGCATGTTATTTGGTGAATAGGACTCTATCAACTACTATTGAATAAGACACTTAAAGAGGTGTCGATGTGGGCCTACAGGGAATGCATAAAAAAGGAATCACCACCTAACTATTCTCTCCGATTACATATGAAGAAGATATAACATTAATATCATCCCGTCCTACCTAAGGTAGGTCGCATTAAATGAAAATAAAAATTTATTTTTATTATGTTATACTTTTATGCCTATTTGAGTGAATTTATTTTATTAAGATGGAATAGTATAGTAATTTGAGTTTTAGGCCGATCTGTGGCCAATACCCATACTCAAAGAAGAAAGGTGAAGAAAATTAGAATTTCAATCGATCTTTAGTGAAATGACCTATACCGACAAGTAAGTGAGTTTTTAAAGATTGATAGTCTTTTATTAAAATAAGCAACATGTCACCGACAACCTCACTCACACAAGTGGGAAGCCATTGACGACTTCGAGTCATGGATTTAAGAAGTTATTGAAAACTTTATCATATAAGTGGGAAGTCATTGATAACTTCACTTCACTTGAGCAAGGAGCAAGTAACTCGGTTTGGAAGCCACCGACGACTTCTTCACATAAATGAATAGCCATGGATGGCTTCGTTTTAGATAAATAAACAATAAGCAAAATAATTTTGAAACCACATAAAGCTTCATCATATAAGTTAAAAGCCACCGACATGTTCATTTCAACAATAAAAAATTAAATAAAAATGGCTTGAAATTCTCCACATAAATAAAAAGCCATCAACAACTTCATTTTGGTAAACGGACGTGTATATAAATTGGTTAAAAGTCATGGTCGGCTTTGACCATATAAGTGGAAAGCCACCGAATGCTATATTTTTAGCAAACGAAGTTAGATAAAGTTGATTTAAAAGCTATTGATGGTTACATCATATAAGTGGGAAGCCATAGCAGCTTTATTTAGGCAAATAGATAGCATGCAAAACCTTAAGCATGATCAAACAGAGCATTTGATAACATAATCATTCATAGCACATCATTTTCACCATTCACATTTATTATTTTAAATAATTCAAATAATTTTAGAAGTTACTAAAACATCATGAGAGTATTAAAAGTTCTTCCTTTGGATCGGTTTTACTTCGTTAAATCTCGACGAAGACTCGATGAAGACTAGCTATTTTAGTCGACCAAGAAGGAGGACGTAACTACTTATGAGTATCGAGAAGGCTATTATATACCGATTAGAATACCACTAGTTAGTTATGAAATGATCAAAATACCCTTGTATGTAAAATTACAAAAATACTACATTATAAAATTACCAAAATGCCATTAGAAGATGAAATATATTGTCGACTATTTGATCACCATTTGGTGGTCTTTCAAGTGCATGAACTAGCCCATGTTGTAAATGAGACCATCGCTAACTCATTTGTAGTGGTGGTAGTTGCTAGGGATGCTTAAGGAGGGAGATTGATGGCTTTAAAGTTTCAACCAAATCTCATTCTCTTTTTGATGAAGATTTTGATGATGTTAAGGGATTTTAAGGGAATTACTCGACTCATGAGGTCGAGGGAGTATTTCGTAGTGGTTCGAAGGTTTGATTTGGCATTGATTAGCTAATTTTATCACATTGCATAGATAGGTCGAGAAACGAGTCACCATCAATTAAGTCATTTTTTGATGGATTTTAGCCTCACTTTCAAAGGGAACTACTCCTAGGAGGTGGATGAGTGGTTCCACGATAGTGTTAGTCAATGGTTTGGTAAAAATCATGAGATATGATCAAGTTGCTAAGTAGGTCAAGTTGCGGTGGTTCTACCTCCGA